GCTCAGTAGAATCATGTCTTTCATACAGACATAATTCATTTATCTGGAACACTTGTAGGATTCTGATATCAGAGTCCTTACTCCAAGGAGAGACTGTAATGATTTTAGGCAGCCACCATGGATCCCTCAAAATGTAAAAATCAAATCCATTCAGATTTTCTGATTTTTAAAGTGGTGAAAGAATGAAATTTCTCCACAATCTGGAGCATTAAAATATTTAATATAAAATTAGACCATCTTAAAGAAGTTTTCAATGCACCTATGAAGAAAAATATTTTTCCATTGTTTAACAAGAACAATAAATTGACTGTTGAACAGTGTAAATAGTGGAAGCAGAGGTGAATTAAGAGATATAGCATATATAATTTAAATCAGTTACCGAGAACAAAAAACATTAAAATTCTGTTCTCTATTTTCAGACCTAACATCTTTGTTAGAAGAAATCAACTGAAATTTTTGCCATAATGTTTAGCAGGTCCAGACTCGTTCAGCCTAGTAAATCTCTCTTTACAGCTAGAACATCCTACTACTGTAAAAATCAAAAACAGGAAATAATGAGAAATATTATTATTATTTTTTTTTTCAGTCATTCCAAAAGCAGGCTTTTGTCCTCCTCATGAAGTCCTTCTGCTAATTAGAAAGGCAATCAGTAGAGGGCAGCACTACACAGAAAAACATACATTTTGAACAGTCTCAACAGGCTGGGACAAAATACCAGAACCTAGATACTATCCTAGGAGAAAACTCTGTTAAAAGATTGGTATTTGCAAAGAAATAATTGCTTATAGTGGGCTCAAAGCATCTGTACACAGCACATTGTTGTCCTTTGGACAGGTGCTTTTACTTTTCCAGACAACGTCAGAATCCTTAGTTTCAGCATTAAACTACGCTTGCCAAGTCTTCTGAACACATCTCCTGATCCACTTGAACAGCTGATTACCTGGTGAGATATGTAAGCCAACGAGTACTTTTAAGTATTTCTTTGGCTACAGAGAAAGGAGTAGTATAAGCATCTCATGCATTTGAATAAGTACAACAAATAGGTTTTGGAAAGAAAGGGATGGGGAGAATTTGGGGAGATGACAAATGTTTAATTTTGAAATAGTGAAAGGAAACATTTGAAATTTTCATTTCTATTTCCATCAAAATAAAATTTCCAACAAAACCAAATATGCAATCACACATCTCTAAATGACCCCATGAAATTAAACTGGTGTTCCCTTCCACTAGTATTGTATTTAAAAAATAATAAAAATAAAACAAACTAAATCATCTTTTAGATTTTTCTAATTTTTTAAATGACAACTTTGGTAGAGAAAACTGTTTGTTGTTTTTTGATAACTTAGTAGTCTTTTAAGCCTTACTGGTTTTATAAAATATATATTTTAGGTTTTCAGTAGTTACGTAGATTCACTATGTAGTAAAATATACATGTAGCTGTCACAGATCTCTTTCTATGCAGAAGAGCTGATGTATTCCAAGAAATCGGAGAAATTAATCAGTAGTGATTTAAATACATAAAACCATAAAGTTTAGCTAAGTTGCAACATTAGTCATATCTAAAGCAAAAGCAATCAAATTCAAAATTATATCAATATGAGTATTTGCACGTTTTTTACTTCAGAATGTATACAAGATGAATTCTTGGACTACAGGCCAACAAGCAAGTAATATAATGCAACCCTGATAGAGCAAGCACAGCTCGAGTACACATCAAGCAAGATTTTTCAGGAGAAGACAGGAGACTAGAGCCATTTTGCAAAATAGAAGATCTGCCTTTTGAGTGCAGTATTTTCAAATGTTGCTCCTGTTTCTATTTACTTTACTTCCATTCTATATCTCAACCAGGTATTCACAAAGTCTGAAGAGGCCCAGGAATCTGCTTCTGATGAGATTACCATTTTTTATGTGCTACATAGATAAATAGGTTTATTAAGTGCTACTTCAGCCTATACTCAATCATTTGGGATATTATAATAACCAAATTTAGGTTAAAATCAGGATAAAAGATTGGACTTGTTATTTTTGTTCTGATGGTTTTGGTTTTTAGCTTTTATGTATATACACATAAATCTCTTCTGATTTTTATCTAGTAAGCTTGAAACACAAGGTAATGTCATCATGTATATGACGTGTTTAGCATTGAACAACAACAAACATTACTGACATTGAATTAGCCACAGGAGGGTTCTCCTTTGGTCCCATGTACACAACAGGAATATACTGAGCTTTAAAAAGGAAAAAACAAGATTTTTATTATACCTACAGAATTCAAAGAAAACACATCCACTAATGTATTTCAATATCTACATAATGCATTACTTTATGCAAATAGAGTTAATTTACTTTGTGCTTTGATTCCTCGATTAAAGTGAAGTAATAGACATTTCTTCTGCATTATATCTATGATCTTCTACATAAATTTGTCACCTATTAAATTGTAGATTTATTGTTTTTGAACACAATGTTAGAAAGAGATAAATATTCCAAGCCCTCACTTCATGCTTAGATGAAACCCTGTTTGAAGTTGCTAAATGCTAAGACTTTGATCCTTCCTTAGGACTGCTAGTTAAGATCCTAAGACCATACAGAATATCATAATTTTAAGGAGAACTCCACACAGGGGCACAATTCAATCTATGTAATTATTAAGGTATTTAGAGGTATTTAACAATTCACAAAATGTTTTCCATTAAACACTTTACTTTCTCAACTGAACAATGACTTTCACCAATAGCATCTTATTTCCATAAATTTCCACCTTTTTATATAGAAACACACACACACAAAGTAAAAGTAGCTTCTGGTAAGGTTGGGTTTTGGGAGAAAGCAGGATAGGGATGTACGTGATTGTGGTAGTTTTACTTGGGTGGGCACCTGAGCCACAACCGCTCTCTCACTCCCCTTCCTCAAAGAAGAATGGGGAGAAAATACATTGAAAAGGGATCAAGGGTTAAGAAGGAAGAGGAGATCGAGCAGCAATTATCGTGACGGGCAAAACAGACTCAACATAGGGAGATAGTAAGATTTATTGCATATTACGAACAAGCTAGAGAAGTGAGAAACAAAGGAAAGAAGCCAAAAGCACCTTCCTCCCCATCCACCCTCTTCCACCTCCTCCCCCCTGAGCGGCACAAGGGGACGGGGGAATGGGGGTTATGGTCAGTCTACAGCACTTCTCTGCCGCTCCTTCTCGGTCACTCTCGTCCCCTGCGCTGTGGGGTCCCACCCACGGGATGCAGTCCTTGACGAACTGATCCGGCGTGGGCTTCCCACAGGCAGCAGCTCTTCCAGAACTGCTCCAGATATGGGTCCGTACCACGGGGTCCATCCCTCAGGAGCAAACTGCTCCAACCTGGCTCCCCCACGGGCAGCAGCTCCTGCCAGGTCACTTGCTCCTGCGTGGTCTCCTCTCCACAGGCTACAGGCCCGGAATCTGCTCCGGCAGGGGTCTTCCACAGGCGGCAGCCTCCATCGGTGCAGAGCCACCTGCTCCACCGTGGTCTCCTCCACGGGCTGCAGCGTGGAGCCCTGCTCCACCGTGGTACTCCATGGGCTGCAGGGGGACATCCTGCTTCACCATGGTCCTCACCACAGGCCGCAGGGGACTTCTGCTCCGGCGCCTGGAGCACCTCTCCCCCTCCTTCTTCACTGACCTTGGTGCCTGCAAGGCTGTTCCTCACTCCTCTCACTCTCCCAGCTTCTGCGTGGCGCAGTATTTTTTTTCCCTGTCTTAAATATGCTCTCACAGAGGCGCAAAACAACATCGCTTATTGGCTTATCTCTGGTCAGCAATGGGGTCCTTAACAAACATGGGGCAGCTCCTAGATCCTTCTCCCTGCTACCAAAACCTTGCCACGTAAAACCACTACAGTGATTTTTTATTATTTATTTATTTTATTTTTAAAATTCATATATTCAATATGCTAACATTTCTTGGTGTTATGCTCCTGTTTGTTACTATCACTTTTCACGGACCAGCTTCCCAAAGTAAGCTATACTTTTGCAGCTGAACTGTTTTCTTAGGTTTTCTGTAATACACAGCAGGACAGCTAATATCCTAAAACAAAAGCAGGCTTCACAGGTAACCTAAGTTATGGAAAAAACTGAGACATCAGGCATCTCACTTGCACTGCCAAATCAAGAGTATGGCTTTTCCAAAAACAAAACAAAACAAAAAAAAAAAAAAAAAAAAGAAAGAAAACACACTTTGGTTTGGATTAAATGTTATTTACAAACTTCTACAGAAAAAAAAATATAAATCAGTGTCAGTTTCAGAAATAATAATAATAATGCATGTCATGAATTTTCTCATTCATTCCAGAGAGGGAAAAATAAAATACACTTCAAATGCACTATAGTGTCCCCAAAGCAGACTTTTGTAAACCCCAGCAGTATTCCTATGAAAAGAAACTTATCTAAATAATCTGTTGTATCTGTTGAAGGCATCAATAATGCTTTAAATTTCATTTTCTGTCATGAGCTCCTTTGTGCAGAAAATAAGATGCATTCATATTTCTTATTAATCATGAAATAACATAAAATAAATATTTGCAGAAACTTCTGAACAGATAGCAAGTTAGCAAGATAGCAAGATAGCTCAGACTGAGCTGGCAGAGATTAGGTGGGAAGATTTCTGACCTTCATTATCTCAGGATGTAGCTGATAGCTAAAGGTTTCTGATCAAGAAGTATTTTATTCAACTTATGTCTTAAATTAACGTCCATATACAATGTGAGGGGGTGAAATAATAATAATAATAATAAAGATAAAGGATACATTAAAGGACTTGGTTTTAAAATGGGTAATTCTTGCATGTAACTGTCTCAAAAAATGTTTGAACCTAGAACTGGTCTTCATTCATATGGTTTTATGTAATCTGTATGGATCATTGTCATGATCATTAGGCAGTTGATTTATTTGTTTCCTTAAGGCTACAGCCTTAGGGAAACAAGATTACTACAATTTACTCAAATATATATATTTTTTCCATCCCCTAGGTCCTATTTACACGAGGAATATAATTTTTGAAAATTTTGTTCTGCTGAATTATTAGAGAAGTGGAGTCTAGCAGCATCTCTGTAAATGATGAGGACTTACTCCTTGACAGTTTTGCTTTGGAGCTGTATGCTTCATGCTGTTCATATGATGCCATCACAAAAAAGGACTAACAAGCACTCACCAAGTGAAAGGATAACAGGATTGTCAGAGAATGATGGAGAAACACTGCACCGCACCAAGCGTGGTTGGATGTGGAATCAATTCTTCTTGCTGGAGGAATACACAGGTCCAGATACTCAATATGTGGGCAAGGTAAGTCTTGTATTTAAAGGATTCTTCAGAGGTGATGAATCTGACAACCTTAGTATTTTCCCTACCTGTCCAGAGTAGTGTTGCCTTCTGTGTTGTAATGGTCCCAATTTCTCATTTAAGTCAAAGAAATCACATCATGGAACACCTGAAGCTTCCTTAATTTTTCAAAGCTATGGGAGCAATGAAGTAGTTTAGTGAATAAAAAAAGAATCTGTTCAGGCAAAAATTTTACAATTTCTTACTACATATGCCCAAGCTAGTTTTAACACTGAATCATTTTGTTTTCAACTATTAAACATAAATATTAGATAAGGGAATAGAGAAGTCATGCCTTCATTCATCTACCTTGTGGCATTTGCCAGTATACTGCAATGTATGTTTCCTCAAATGATATAAAAAATTCTATTTATCATCAATGAAATTGCTGCCTGTGCACATTTCTAAGCATGAATAGAAGAAGAAAACAAACAAACAAACAAACAAAACACCATGGTTTTCATCACTTCTCCAATAAACTAACTAGGATTTTTACTTAACACCTTGAAAGACTTTCCATTCTTCATTACCTGCCTACATCAGCTATTGCCAACAAAAGCACTTCTGAATTTCAGAATCTCCACAGTCCTACTTTTATTGATAACACATGATTCAAGGGTTTCCACATTTCTCACCCTCTGTTGTGCCTCACAATACACAGATCTACTTTGCATTGTGGTATTCCTGTACGGTCCTGGTAAAAACCTAGAATACATGCAGCACCATCCAGAATGACTTGCAAATTAATGAAATATTTATTTTTTATGTTATTAATAAATGTTCATTCCAACTTCTGTCATTCTGTCATTGACCTCATCTATAACAACACTACACTCATAAAATTCTGTTTTCAGTTAAATTAATTTCTACTTGTAGTGGCAGAAATAAGATGAGATAAATAATCCTATTGCTAAATTATTTATTTGTATATAAAATAGGAAGATTTCTAGTTAGTGAAGGGATCTTCAATAAAGAGTAAACTAATTGCATGCAGAAATTTCTAAACAAAATTTGGTTGGAAGTACCTTTCAATACTAAATTTGCAAAGAAAACACACAATAAGGTACATAATATAGACCTCCACAGAAGTTCTACCTAGAGTCATAGAAATATTTTTTTGTTAAAATAGAAAGCTTGTCATAAAAGATAAGTAAGTAGTAATATAAGAGTTGATTGCAGTTTCAATCACATTATTACAGATGGTTGGATTCATCTATGCCATTCTAAATCTCAAATAAATTAACCTTACATCAAGATGCTTTTCAACATCTCTGTTTCACAAAAGGAAAATTAATCACTGAGAATGTCTAAATGGTATTTTGTAACAGGTGAAAGTTTACTCCACATTTATTCTAAAACAACTAAAAGCTGCTGGACCTTATTAGTATAGAGCTGAGTCCAGGATGGAAAACAAATACCTATATGGCAGTTGGATCTGAGATGATACATTTCTTATGATTCAGAGAATGCAAATACTTATTATTTTTTTTTTTCACATTTCTCTGCCAAATCTTGTACGGAGATGCTGAGTGAGGGGGCAGTATTAGTGATTGTCTGCACAGATAGAAATCACCACAAATATTACTCTGTGTTCCAAAAATATGACATTGGACTGACGTGAAGCACTTCATATGGTCGCATTAACTTTAGTACAGTTCATGACGTGACAGAATGAATGTGACTGTCCTCAGTGGCATAAAAGCACAGTAATTCCAAATGAGTTAGTTCATATTATCCATAGTACACATGGTTAAAGAGCAGCTCCAAAAGACAACTGCTAAAACAAGAAACTAAAGATTTTTATTTTTTTTTTATAAAAAGCAAAATTTTTTTGAAGAATACTACCTTTGAGAAAGACTTAAAATCTCAGGTTTAGTATTCTGCTCAAAGTGACAGAAATTAGCAAAAAAAGTGCTAAGAAAAATCACTTTTATTCCCAGCCCTGGGGACTATTTAACAGAAAGAGTTCTTATCCAGTCCTTCTTTAACATAGATATGCACAGACAGGTAGATTACCAGGGTAGAATAATAGATGATAACAGAATAGATTAATAGAAGTAAAAATTAAGTGAATTAAGAAAATTTATCAGGATTTTTCCTGATATTCCAAATCATATTCCAAAAAAATCCTGATAATTCCAAATTTTTCAAATTTAACTTTGAAGAGATTATAGCTATCAAAATAATAAATTAGTTTTCCTTCCAGAGTTTGATTTTCAAACAATTTTACTCAATTAAGTAATTTGTGTTTTGTTAGTGAGGTTACTTTGCTGACATTTTATTCTCTTGTTTGTTCTGTTACTGGCAGTGGGGTGGGATAGTGCATCCCTCAGTACAACATGTTATTATACAATTTATTTACAAAGCAGCATGGGTACATGTGATGGAGAGCTATTCTGTGGTGTCTGTACAATTCTCACTCCCACTGCTCAGACTCTCAGCCCAGTTTAGGCCAGTATCAGAGACCCAAGGGAAATGCACACTCTCCAGCCACTGCACTGTCCATATCCTGATTGTGTTCTGGTGTCTATGTGGGGACTTGCCTTGGGGTCAGCCCTGACTTGCTTTCAGAGGTTGCTGGAGGGAGGGAGTCCCTCCTGTAAATCTGAGGGGTTATTTTCTTAAGTACTGCTTTTTAAAATTAGATTGTCTGCAGGCAATGGCCTCACAAGAGAAGTAGGCCTGGAACAATCTTCCCTTATATCTAAGGCTCCATCACCTCATCACTTTCATCACTTTTTTTTTTTTTTTTTTCTTTCCCACTTTCCTGTAGGGTAGTCTAAACACTTAGAGCTTTTAATTAACTTGAATGGAAGTTGAGTGTATTTGGGTGTACTAAGAAGACAGATGGTAAACCCAGCTCCACGCAAAGCTGGAGTATGGCTCCCAGGCTGTTAAAGTGGGTAACGGTGCTATTGAACCTAACTCTGAAGAGATAGAAGAGTGCATATGCTCCCAATTATTGCTAGACAGCTTTTGAACAAAGGCAGTGGTAATGGGTATAGATGGCATAAAATGGAGACCAATAAATGCATCCAATGCACTTAGCAGAAATAGAAAATACTGCTTGGTGAACAAAGGAAGTTAGCATTCAACAGTTGCCACAAGGCTGGATGGCCAGAACAATTGTACTAAAGACCTAAATCATTAAATATATTTCAGAGACAAGGCTGTGGTGGTTTCACCACATATAGATGCAGAACAATTACCTTGTGAATGTCGTGGAAGGTAAGTTAAATCCAGAGAACCTGCAGTATATCTGTAATGCATCTTTGTTTCCTTCTCCCAACTCAGAGGTTACATCCATCCTGAAGACTGCTTTCCAGCATAAAAAATAAATGCTTAAGAATCCCTTAAATTTTGTAGGTCCTGTTACTCATACCTGCAACAATACAAAAGCTATCAATTTCTCCCTGTTGAAAATTAACAGAGAGAGGTAGGGTTAAGCAGTATCACAGTCTTGATTAAAACTGTGTCCAAGATTTTTTTTTTTATTATTATTAAAACACAAAATGTTATTTCAAGATGTCTGTTGCTGAATGTGAACGTTAAGTATCTTAGAGGAGTCATCAATATGAGGAATTTTCACAGGATGTAAGATGAATTATAAAACCCATTCTGCCTACTGAGAATTCACAAAAAGGAAAAAAAAAATAAAGTGGGTTACAATATAACATTCAGATTTAAATGTCTGAGAAAAGTTTATTTTTAAACAGAAAAGGTGACAGAAAAAATAGGTGACATTATTTTATGAAGATTAAAGAGGTTGTGGGAAAAAATAAAAAGACTGTAATGTGATATTCTTTGATTTCACTATGGAGGTCACAGGTCCTATTTTTCAGCTGCTACTAACTTTAAAGAAGCAAAAAAGCACAAGCTGAAGCTAGACTCAGAACCCAAGGAATGGAATCTCAAACACTGACTTTCTGTGAGAGAAAAGTCTATCAAAATTTGGTCACTTCCTAAACAAACATGTCAAGGAGAAAACTTAGAAAGGAAAAGGACTCTCAATTTAGAAATATTAGTGTTGATGAGGATCATGTTCATCAATTAAAGAAAAAGCTAATAAAATGCACAGGAGGCTCAAAACAGATAGTCCTTTAGGGATAATTAGTTTTATTTTCCAAAGCTGGCACTGAATTTATTAGCCTCTATCTCTAATTAGCTTACCTGATACCCACTGAATGTGCATCAGTTGTGCAAAATGCCAGATATCTCACCTCTTTACTGCAGTCCCTAGGAAGAAATAGGCCTAACCAAAATCAACCATTTTGGAAAATACAGCTCTTTAGAACAACAGTATATGCAAATGATTTTAAGAGGTGAGATTCTTCTTCCTTTTAGTAAGTCACTCTATTATCTTTTTATATAAAAACTAGTTTTTTACTGTATCAAAAAGGCATTTGCAAATCAAAGACAGTTGATAGGCAAATAATGTGTGAAGTTTCATGCAACGTCTGGTAAATCAACAATGCACTGTAAACTATAAGACATCTCAAATATCTATCATATACCAGTACCTAAAAACAAACAAACAATAACAAATAAAATTATTGTATATCACCCAGAAGAAACAGATTTTTTCATACTGGGGAGGAAATAAAAATCCAAAAGAACTCACAGTGCTCAAAAGTAACTGTTCCATGAATAACCTCCTATTTAATAATTTTGTAAAAATACATGAACTGGTGTTTGCATGTCATGGGCACCATTTAACTTTGATACAAACTGATGAAAAATCTCAGTTCTACGTTCAGTTAACTTGTTAACTTCAGTTAGCTTGAAGCATGACATCTGCCCCCATCTTATAAAAAAGTGTGAAGAAAAATATAAAGAAGGTGGTTTTTTTTTTTTGGTGGGCGGGTTGCAACATATATTCAAATGTAACCAAATATTTCTTGTAAACTTCACTTACAAGTGTTCGGACATCTACAAGTTGGGTTGTCTGACTTAAAGGAAAAGCG